TATAAATTCTGGATATAAGACCCTTATCTGATATGTCATTACCAAATACTTTTTCCCAGTCTGTGGCTTCCCTTTTTACCCTGCTGGAGAAGTTTTTGAATGTGCGTAGGGGTTTGATTCTTGGAGGTCCCGTTGATCTATTTTATCCACTCCTGGTTGTAGGTTTTTAAGGATGCTTTGAAGACTGTTCATGTTGTGGATTAGGGCTTCTGGAGTTTTTCCAGGCTTTTTTCTAATGAAGTTTATAGTCCTTGGTTTTACTCTTAGGGCCTTGATCCACTTTGATTTGTTTTTTTGTGTATGGTGTGAGGTGTGGGTCTTGCTTGAGTTTTCTGCAGATAGTTTTCCAACTTTGTCAACACCATTTGTTAAGGCTATCGTTTCCCCACTTAACTGATTTCATCTCCTTGTCAAAAATCAGTTGACTCTAGGTTGATGGGCTGATTTCTGGGTTCTCAGTTCTAGTCCATTGATCTATTTGTCTGTCATTGTACCAAGCTGTCTTGACCACCACGGCAGTGTTGTTGGATTTGAAATCAGGGAGTGAGATGCCTCTTACCTTGTTTCTCTTTTTAAGGAGTGCTTTGCTTATTCAGGGCCTTTTTCCATTCCAAATAAAATTGGAGATTGTAGGGGATTCTGGTGGCCTAGTGGCAAGAAGCTGCACTGCAATCCCAGAGATATGCTGTTCAAATCCACCAGATGCTCTGCCGGAGAAGGAGGGGCCATCTCCTCCTGTACCAGTCAGATCCAATTAGATGGTGTACACACACACACACACACACACACATACACACTAATAAAATAAAAATTTAAAAAAAAATTGGAGATTGTCTTTTCCATCTCATTGAAGAATGAAAATGGTATTTATATTGGGATTGCATTGAACGTGTAGATTGCCTTTGGTAGAATTGTCATTTTCACAATGTTGTCTTCCTATTTAAGAGCAAGGTATATTTTTCCATTTCTCCAGGTCTCTTTTTGTTTTTTTCTAGTAATGTGTTGTAATTTTCTTTGAATAGATCCTTTGTGTTTCTAGTTAAGATTTACTCCCAAGTATTTAATCTTGTGATTAGCTATTGTGATGGGTATTGTTTTTCTTAGCTCCAGTTCTGTATTCTCTTTGTCACTGTAGAGAAATCCAGTTGATTTTTGTATGTTGATCATATATCCTGTCACTTTGCTGAATTGTTCAACTATGTCCAGTAGTTTTCCTGCTGAGTCTTTAAGGTTTTCTAAGTATACTATCATAACATCTGCATTTAAAGATAACTTTACCTCCTCTTTACAGACTATTTTTTGATTGTCTGCAGCAAGCTTTTCAAGTCCTCTCTACTTGCAGCAAGCGGAGTTATGTCATCTGCATAATGCAAGTTATTAATTATTATTATTATTCTTTCTCTGATTCTGATGCCACATTCTTTTTCATAGAGCCTGACTTCTCTAATAATTAGCTCAGCACACAGATTAAAAATGTGGAGAGGCACAACTTTCTTAATTTTAAACCATGAAGTGCTCTGTTGGTCTGTTCTAACAACAGGCTCTTGGTCTAGATATAAGTTTTACATGAGCACAGTTAAGTGTTCTGGGATTCCCATTCTTCTCAATGTTAGCCATAACAGTTTGTTATGAACCACACAGTCACTTGTTGCACTTCTCTGACCTGCAGGAAAGTGTCAGGTAATGGAATGAACTGCTTAAGACTTTGGTTAATCAAGTGAGTTAAGGGGAGAAGAATTTAGAATTGAGGGTTTTCTCGACATATACATCCTCATAGCTTTTCTTTGAGAAGTTTTTTATTGTACAGGCAGAAAAAAAGATATTGACTAGAGTCAGAATAGAAGATGTTTTGTACTGTTTCTTATTTTCTTTGCTCACCCTACCTGTTTGTTTACAAGACCACCCACATTCATATCAAAAGGAGAATTAGTGGGAGAATCAAGTTTTTGTATGCACACATACATGTACATCCATGAGACAGTATTTTCTTGTCTTAGAGACATACAAGTTCAGGCAGCCTGTTTTTTTGTCCTATTACATTCATTATATTCTTTTAATCTGGGCAGCTCCTGCCTTAGATAGCTGACTTTACAGAGTTGATAAAGTACAGACAATCTTCTGGTCTTCTTTGCTTTCAGTCAGGATCCATGTTACATCAGCAGTGATATCCCTGGTGCCAAGGCCTCTTCTAACTCCAACTTGAATGTCTAACAGTTGCTTCTTTGTGTACTGTTGTAGCCATTTTGAATTATCTTCAGTGTTTTGCTTCAATATTATATTAAGGATATTGTTTGATAATTTCCACATTATTTTGGATCACCTTTATTGGGAATGGGAACTAATAGAAATCTCTTCCACTAAGTCAGCTATGCGGGTGTCCTTCAAATTTCCTATCATAGACTGGTGTGTGCATCCCAGGCTGCATCTGTTACTTGAAACATGTCATTTGGTTCATCATTGATTCCTGGGGCCTTATGTTTTGGCAGTGTCTTCAGTGCAGCTTGAACAACTTTACTCATTACCCTTGGCTCTTGTTAATATGATGGTATTTCTGAAATCTTTCTGTGTCAACCAATTCTTTTCAGTACAGTGACTGTGATTCCTTTCATCTTCTTTTGATGCTTCCTGCATCGTTCAAGATTTTGCCATAGCATCTTCAGTATTGCAACTTGGGGCTTGAATTAGTCTTTCAGTTCTTTCAGCATTTTAGCTTGGAAAATGCCAAGCGAGTTCTTCCTTTTTTATTTTCTAACTCCAGTTTTTTGCAGATTTTGTTAAAATATTTTTCTTTGTCTTCTCAAACTGCCATTTGAAAAATTCTGTTCAGCATTTCATTATTTTCTTCATGGATAATAACCTTTATGTCATCTCTTGATGAGATGATTTTTAAGTGCAGAAAGAGTCAAAATTTTATTTTTGTGGACTTGTTTTCTTCAGCTTCAGTTTGAATTTGCACATGAGTAATTGATGTTCTTTTCCATAGTTAGCCCCTAGCCAGGTTTTCACCTCATATTGTGCTTCTCCAATGATTCTTTCCACAGATGTAGTTAATCTGATTCCTGTGTAGTCCACTAAGTAAGATCTATGTTTATAATTGCTTTTTGTGGGGAGTTTTTAAAATGTATTTGCAGTGAATAAATTATTGTACAAAATTCAGTCATTTGATCTCCAGTCTCATTTCTACAGTCTGAATTATGCCGTTAACACAACCTTATTTGCTGAAAATGAAGAGGACTTGAAACACTTCCTGCACAAAGTCAAGAACTACTGCTTTAAATATGGATTACATCTCAACATCAAGAAAACAAAAATCCTCACTCCTGGATCAGTAAGGAACATCATGATAAATGGAGAAAAGATTGAAGTTGTTAGCAATTTAACATTGTTTTGATCCACAGTTAGCACCTTTGGAACTAGCAATCAAGAAATCAAAAGACATGTTGTATTGGGAAAATGTTCTGTCAATGACCTCTCAGAAGTGCTAAAGAGCAACGATGTCACTACAAAGACTAAGGTGCACCCAATCCAAACTATGGTCATTTCATTTATTTGCTGTGCATCTGAAAGTTGGACAGTGATCAAGGATGGCAAAAAGAATCAATGCCTTTGAGTTGTGTTGGAGAAGAGTACTATATAGCTAATGGACTGCTACAAAAACAAATATGTCTTAGAGAAAGTGCAGCCAGGTTACTGCTCCTTAGAGAAAAGGATGACAAAACTTCATCTCACATACTTCGGGCATTTTGTTCAGAGGATCCAGTCCTTGGAAGAAGATAACATACTTGGAAAGTCAGAGAGTTAGAAGAGAAGAAGACTTGTCACAGTGACTATATCATTGAGCTTAAGTATAGCAGAGTTGATGAGTATGGCACAGGACAGGGTAAGGTTCAGAGCTGTTGTTAACAGATCGCTATGAATCTTAGTCAACTCAACGGTATTTAACAACAAACAGCATCCCTCACTATTTAGATTTTTGCTATCTAAACTCAGAAACCGATTGGATTCAGGTGATATTTTCAGTTAACTGCTTGCTGTCTGAGTTATTATTATTTGATGAACAAAATTCAAACAGAACCAAACAGATTCAATAAGGTATCCATACATGTACATACTTTCTATCTGAAGGGTTTCTGACCAGAGTTTAGAACTAAATAGGTTTATACAGACAAATGATATTTGACTTTTCAATCTTTCTCTTTACACTTCTCATTTTTGCTTAATTACAGTTATAATGTTTAAATCCATTTAAAATCATAGGCACATGCTTTACTTTTATTTGAATGCTTAATACTGTAACATTTTGTAAAGGATTCTATCTAATTGCTAATGGTTTATCATAAAAATGAGATTCATCCCTTTTTTGTTTGGTCTACTTTTGCCGTGCTCTGGTGTGCCAGTAATCGTGCAAGCGAAATACTTTAGGAGAAGGGCACTAACTGAGCAGTGGCAATAACACTAGATTGAACATTAAGAGTGCCTTAAATGTAGTTGGACGTATATATACTGGTTTCTTAGTGGATAACTAATACCATTTTCTTAAAGAACTATAGACCAGATCTTCTGTTTTGCTCGAAAAGTAGGCTGTCTAGTCTACGGACGGTCATACAACCCTGAACGTGCCTGACCTCATCTAATAGGCCATCTTTTCTTTCTTTTTCTTTTTTTAAACTTTTCAGGAGCTCTGGTGCAGTTTGGTTAAGGCATTCAGCTGCTAACCAGAAGGTTGATGGTGTAAACACACCAGCTGCTCCATAGGAGGAAGATAATATGCATCCATAAAGATTTACAGCTTTGGAAACCTCATGGAGCATGCTTTCCCTAGGAATTTAAATGAACTCAATGGCAGTGGTTTTGTTTTAAAACATTTCAAAATGAATCCTGATAAGCTGTAAATGAAGAATCATATTCACAGTGTCTTTATAATGTCATAGTACTTTTCACTGATTGATACAGAGGTCTTTTTTGGATGGAAAATCTTAAATGAAGGTATCTCCTTTCAGTCCGGCAGGGACCTTCAACAGTACCAGAGTCAGGCAAAGCAACTCTTTCGAAAGCTGAATGAGCAGTCCCCTACCAGATGTACCTTGGAAGCAGGAGCCATGACTTTTCAGTGAGTATAATAAGATTTTTTTAATGATCCTTTAAATATGAAATATAACAATATAAGTAATATATTAGTTTTTCCCTTCTGATTCATTTTACTTAAAGTTAACTTTAAAAATACTGTCTTGTTATGAAATAACTTTTATAATACCAATTTTTTTTAAAACTGGAAATCTTTGTTTATTCAGGATGCCTATAATCAGTTTGTTAAAAGAATATGTCTAGTGAGTGCTGTACTGATCATGTAATAATAGATAACTTCTTTCTTGTAAGCATCTTAAAATATTCTTGTTAACATGTTCTAACAATGTAACCATGAGAACCTTAGAATTTTTCCAAGCTTCAGTTTCCTTTGTAAAATACAGAAAATATTAGTGTTCTGTGCAGATTATGAAGAATTTGATGTACATCATGTAGTTCTTGCCTGACCCGTAGGAAATAGTCAATAAGTGTTACTTGTTTAGCAAAAAGAAAATTATAAAAGATCCTTTAAGAGCTGCTTTAAAGACAGTGGATACAGACAGCCGAGACCTTGTCTGCCCTCATCCGCCCCAGAGCACAGGCCCCTCCGCACAGTCACCGCCCCTGGTTCCCACCCACCATCCCCAGCTCACTATCGTTGATGACATTGCTGTGCTCGTGCAAAGTCAACTTTGTGGGTGACGACACCCCCCCCACCCCCTGTCCCCGCCCTGGGCTGGCTTCCCCTCCATTGTGGGGCATGATGGTGGGCATGGACCAGAAGGACTCCTACATGGGGGATGAAGCCCAGAGCAAGAGAGGCATCCTGACCCTCAAGTACCCCATTGAGCATGGCATTGTCACCAACTAGGGTGATATGGAGAAGATCTAGCACCACACCCTCTACAACAAGCTGCATGTAGTCCCTGAAGAGCACACTGTGCTGCTGACGGAGGCACCCCTGAACCCCATGGCAAGGCTAACCGGGAGAAGATCATGTTTGAGACCTTCAACACCCCTGCCATGTACACCCCCATCCTGGCCATCCTGTCCCTGTATGCCTCTGGTTGGACCACCGACATCATGACAGATTCCAGCAATGGGGTCACTCGCATTGTGCCCATCTATGAGGGGTACACCCTCACCCATGCCATCTTGCATCTGGACCTGGGTGGCCAGGACCTGAGGGACTACCTCATGAAGATCCTCACTGAGGAAGGCTACAGCTTCACTACCACAGCTGAATGGGAAGTTGTGAGTGACATTAAGGAAAAACTCTCTTACGTTGCCCTGGACTTTGAGCAGGAGATGGCCATGGCAGCTTCCTTATCCTCCTCGGAAAAGAGCTATGAGTTGCTCTATGGACAGGTCATCACCATCGGCAGTGAGCATTTCGGCTGCCCAAAGGCACTCTTCCAGCCCTCCTTCCTGGGCACGGAGTCTTGAGGCATCCACGAAATTACCTTCAACTCCATCATGAAGAGTCCTCTAGGACTCTAGTCCACTAGGTCCTCCAGGACCTAGTGCTGTCTGGTGATACCACCATGTACCCAGGCTTCACAGACAGGATGCAGAAGGAGATCACAGTGCTGGCTCCCAGCACAATGAAGATCTAGGTCATTGCTCCCCCCGGAGTGCAGATACTCCATATGGATTGGTGGCTCCATGCAGGCCTCCCTGTCAACCTTCCAGCAGATGTGGATTAACAAGCAAGAGTATGACAAGTCTGGCCCCTCCATCATCCACCGCAAATGCTTCTAGGCACATTGTTTAGTTGCATTACACCCTTTCTTGATAAAAAAAACCTAACTTGGCAGGGAAAAAAGGAGATGAGAATTGGCATGACTTTGTTATGTTTATGTTTCTTTTTTAATTTTTTCTTTTTTTTTTTGAGCTTGACTCAGGATTTAAAAACTGGAACAGTGAGGGTGACTTCAGTTGTTGTGGAGTGAGAATACCTGAGTTCTCCAATGTTACCCAGGACTTTGATTGTACATTGTTCTTTTCTTTTTCTAAAACAGTCATTCCAAATAATTGCAACATGGCGATGTGACAGGAAACTCCTGCCTTTCCAAAAGCCTCTCCCCTTGCCCTAAGCAGAAGAGCCCTGTCCCCCACCCAGCTCTGTGCACGGACAGGGGTGGCAGGGAGCATTGCTTTTGTGTAAATTATACCTAATCCAATTTTTTTGTTGTTAAAAAAACTCTTCCGCCTTAATACTTGTTCTTTAGTTTTTGTTTTCAATAGTCAGCCATTGGAGGCCCTACTTTTTTTGGGGGCCCCCTGCCCTTCCCCCTAACTCTAGAAATATGAAGGCTTTTGGTCTCCCTGGGGTGGCTGAGATGTGGAGCCAGCCAGGGCTTTACTTGTACACTGACTTCAGACCAGTTGAATAAAAGGGCATACCTTAAAAAAGTGAAGGGGCGTGGGGGAGGGGGGGAAGACAGTGGATACAACTGAGAAGAATCAAAGAAACTCTTGGGTTTCAAATTATCTGCAAATATCAGTGTTAAATGTTTACTACAGGTCAAACTTGAAGATGATAAAACGGAAGAATTTTAAAGGAAAAGAATGTGGGAGGATCAAAGGGAAATAAAAAAGGACTAAGTTTTTCATATTTTAGGTACACAGATATCAGGTCAGTATAGATGAGATAACTCTCTCAATCCTGACTCATAGCTCACCCTCCAGTGAGCTTTTAGATGCTCTAACTTGCATGGAAGGAGAAATAATTGGCTCCTTCAAAGAACTATACAAGTATACTAAAAGAAAACTCTAGCTTATATGTTAAAAAAAGAATGGAGATTAAATTTCATAATATATTCTATATGATGTCTAGAGTATAGAACATGGAATTTGTTAAGAGGAAGTCTGCTTTGGTTTAGACAGTTTCCAAGTCTTAGAGAATTTCTCCCCAGAAATTAGGGAGTGTGATAAGCTCTGAGCTCATTGTCCTCTGTCCCCAATAAATATTGTAATATTAACATGTAACTTTTAAGTGTGTCTAAGTTTCCAAGTTCTTTTGTAACAAAAGGGCACAAAGTGGGTAGTTATAAAGAACAGAGAGGAGTTATGGAGGTTAGAAGTCCAAATCTGTGTATTAGCTATGTTGATTCCTTCTGAGGGCTCAGAGAAACTGTTTGTGCCTCTGTAGCTTCTTCTGGTACTTGGCACTCTTGGCATTTTTTTTACTTTCAGCTGCCTTTATAGTCTAGTGATCATCCTTCTGTCTCTTTGTCTGTTCTCTTTTGTAAGGCACAACTCAGATTCTAAGACCCAGCCTACTGGAGTATGACCTCCTGTTAACTGATAATATTTTTAAAGACCCCTTTTCCAAAGGCATCCTCACAGATAATAAGTGTTTAGTACTTCAATGTATCTTTTTTCTTTTTTTAAGTATTTTTAGTTGATATTTTAAAATACTTTTGAGATTTTAACGAACGTTTACAGAGAACTTGGATTTCCATCAATTCCTTATTGTACATTTTCCTCCCTGTTCGCCCCAGTTCACTTTGCTCTTTGAAAAAAAAATTCTTTCATTGTTGCACAATTTCATGTTCCCCACTAGTCCACTTTGCTATGCAGCTCTTATTCTAGACTTGTCATGCAAATAATACCTAATCATATATTCCTTTTTTTAAATTTTATTTTATTAGTTTTAATGAACATTTACAGAGATTTTGGATTTTCTTTCATTCTTTGTTGCACTTTTTCCTTTACCCTCCTCCCCCCAGTTTGCTGTCTTTGAAAAGCAAAAGATAAACTTCTTCGTTGGTATACAATTCCCTGACTCCAGCCCGGCACCCCCCCCAACCCCTGCCCCAAATACACTCCACTATGCAACCTTAATTCTGGATTCCTGTGATAATCATAATATGCTATCGTATATAAAATATTCCTTTTAAACAGTTCTTTCTCTCATCTGTTTCCATGCAGTATACATTATTTATCCTCTCTTTTCCCCCCCAACCCGCATGTCAGTCCTATTTTATAACAGTGGCATTATGCAGTATTTGTCCTTCTGTGACTGAGGTATTTCACTCAGCTTAATGTCCACCAGGGTCACCCATTTTGTATAATATTTTGAGTTCCTTTTTTCAGTGCTGCATAGTATTCCACTGTGCGACTGTACCATAGTTTCTTCATTCATTTTTTTATGGGCACTTGGCTTGTTTCTGTCTCTTTGCTATTATGAACAGTGCAGCAATAAACATGGGTGTGCATATATCTGCTTGGGTGGCAGTTCTGGTTTTTTAGGGTATTTTCCAAGTTGTAGAATTGCTGAGTCAAATGGTATTTCTTTTTTCCAACTTTTAAAAAAATGCCATACTGCCTTCCATAATGGTTGCACCATTTTATACTCCCACCACCAGTGAATAAGGTTTCCAGTTTCTCCACAACCATGCCAGCATTTGTTGTTTGCTGCTTGGTTGAACTTTGCTATTGTTAATGGGGTGAAATGATATCTCATAGTTGCTTTGATTTGCATCTCTCTTAAAATTAGGGATTTTTAACATTTCTTCAAGTGTTTGTTCATTGTCTGAATGTTTTCTTTGGTAAAATATTTGTTCATATCCTGTGCTCATGTTGCAATTGGGTTGTTTACCTTTATGTTGTGGTACAACATACCTTTTTGAAGGATACAATCTATAATACTATGTACAAAAATTTTTAGTTCTACTAATTTTCTTTATGGTTAAAAGGAATTTCTGTACTAATCTTTCTTCTACACAAAGGGTAGATGGAGAATTTTTAAGAAACTATCTTAGGTTCTCTCCAAAGTACTGAAGAGCAGTGGTGTCTCTCTGGAGATTAAGGTGCATCTTATACAGGCCATGGTCTTTGCAATCACTTGTTATGTGTCAAAGAGTTGGACAATGACTAGGGATGATAGAAGGAGAATTGATGCCTTTGAGATGTGGGTGCTGGATAAGATTATTGAATGTACCATGGACTGCTAAGAAAACAAATCCTCTTCATCCTGGAGAGGGTTAAATCTGGCTGCTCCTTGGAGGCAAGGATTCTGAGGCTTTGTCTGATATACTTAGGACATGTTTTAAGGAGGGACCAGTCCTTGGAGAGGGACATCATGCTTGGGAGGGTGGAGGAACAGCTCAGGAGGGGAAGACCCTCAATGAGGTGGATTGATTCAGTGACTGAGGTAATCAAGGTGGGTGTTTCAGAGACAGTGTGATTGGCACAGGACAGAGCAGGGTTTAGGGCTTTTGTACATAGGGTTGCTATGAGTCGCAGGCAACTTGGTGGCACTTAACAACAACAACATCTTAGGTTCTAAGATATTTTAGTTAGAGAATTAGGTAAATTAATAAGCAGATATAATAAATTTATCTAAGTACTCCTTTTAGAATATAATTATGAAAAACATTTGCTTTCTGTTTCTAAGAACTTGTGGTTTTAAATTGATTTTTTTATTTAGACAGCTGCAAATTATTTAAGAATGAAATTTTCAGAAATTTTATATGATACTGAGAATCTCTGTCCAAACTATTGTAGGTACCATTACTCTAAAAACAACTTTTTCTTGCTCTTTTGTCTCTCCAGCTACATTATTGAAGAGGGTGTGTGTTATTTGGTTTTATGTGAAGCAGCCTTCCCTAAGAAACTGGCTTTTGCCTACCTAGAAGATTTGCACTCAGAGTTTGATGAACAGCATGGGAAGAAAGTTCCCACCGTGTCCAGACCCTATTCTTTTATTGAGTTTGGTAAGTTTTTGCTTTCCATTTCTATAAAATTCTGCCTTTCTCATTCCACCTCTTTATATCCCTTTGAGTAAATGTAGGCTCCATTTTATGAGTAACTTACTCTAAATGTTTCATGTTTCCTCCATAGAACACGGTGGGCAGCATACTCCTTATCCCTTTTTGTTGTTTAATCTGATTCTTCATTAGAATTATGTGTGGCAAGAATTTGTGCCTAAACATCTTCCTGTGTGGCATATAATTGCTGAGTTTCCCTCCTTCAAGACCACAGGCAAGTAGCTATACATATGCATGTACACTCACACCCATTCACAGTAAGGGTCATTTTATGGAGAGAAGAATTTTTGAGTTTCGAGTTCCAAGACAGTGATTTTTTTTTTCCTTTTTACTAGAATGTTGTTGTTGTTATGTGCCGTCAAATCATTTGCAACTCATAGGGACCCTATGTACAACAGCCCTAAACCATGCTCTATGCCTTTAAAATTTTTTTAAATACTAAAAGACACATGGTCTTGGATTGAAACATTTGAGCATAAATGCCCTTATTATAAAACTAAAGACTATTCACCAGTCAGAAGTATTAAAAGTATTTGTGGCAGTAGATCAAAGGAAGTCTCCTAAGTACATTAAGTGAGAACAGATAAGATCATACTGCATCTTTGGAATATTTCGCTTAAAAAGGTTTTTTTGTTTTTTATTTCCTTGTTGTTGTTGATTCCCTTCAAGTCGAGTACAACAACTATCAACATTTATCAAAGTTCATAGAGTTTCTGGAGGCATGTTATTTTGGAAGGGGATGCCACTCCTGCTTCTAAATCTGTTATAGTATGTTGTTGTTGTTGTTATTTGCCATTGTGTCACCTGTGATATATAGCGACCCTATTTACAGCAGCTCTGAACCCTTCCCTCTCCTGAGCCAGTCTCATTATTTCCAACACACCAAACCCCATTGCTCCAGTAACTGTATCAATCCATCTCATCTGGGGTCTCCCTCTCCTGCACTGTCTGTCCACCTTTTTGAGCATGATGTCCTTCTCTAAGGACTGATCTCTCCTGGCCAGATGCCGAAAGTAAGTGAGGCAGAGCTTCAAAATCCTAACCTCCAAGAAGAGACTATGTTTCAACCTCTCCAAGACAGACCTATTTGTTTTCTTGGCGGTCCATGATATGTTCAAGACTCTTCTCCAGCACCACAACTCGAAGGCATCTATTCTTTTTCTGTCATCCTTAGTCATTGTCCAACTCTTCTGAAGCATAACTAGTAATTGAGAAGAACATGGCCTGGATTAGGCACACCGTTTTATCTAGACTGATGTTGTTGCTCTTCAGAACTCTGGGGAGGACCATGACAGCAGATTTTCCCAGTGAAATTTGTCATTTGATTTCCTGATTGCTGGTGTTAAGAGTGTTGATTGTGGATCTGAGTAAGCTGTTAATTGTTCACACCCTCAATCTCTTCTCCATCTAATATGGTGCTGCCAATTGGCCCAAGTGGTGAAAATCTTTGTCTTCTTCATGTTGAGCTTCAATCCATATTGAAGGATACAGTCCTTGACCTTCTGTAGCAAGTGATTAAAAATTCAAGAATTCAAAATTATTTCCTTAGAATTTCTAAAATGTTTCTAGTTTGTTGGATTAATGGATCATTTTGCTTTTTAGAAACATCTAGCATAAGAAACCCAAAATTCTAGAACTATAAACTCTGAAAGTAATAATTGTAATATCTGGTTTTAAAAATGTTCTTTTTATAAACAAAATACAGCATTCTAATGCACTCAAGAAAAAAAATATGACTGATGTATCAGGGCCACAAAGGAAATCTATGGTATAATCAGTTTCTCTTAAAGGACTATTTGTTGTTGTTGTTATATGCCATCTAGTCATTTGTGACTCATAGCGACCCTATGTACAACAACCCTAAACCCTGCTCTATCCTGTGCCAATCGCGTTGCCTCTGACACACCCATCCCGATTGCCCCAGTCACTGCATAAATAGTTTATTAGGGGACTATGAGTTAGGTAAAAAAATTATTGAAGTTGTCAATGAATTCCTCTTACTTGGATACATAGACCATACCTTCAGTAATAGCAGTCAAACCAAAAGATGAATTCTTGGACAAAACTGCTATCAGGGACCTCTCCAGACTCTAAATAAGGTTGTCAGTTTAAAGAGCAAGGTGCACCTATCTAAACCATGATCTTTCCAGCTACTTGCTACATATCTGAAAGTTGCACAATGACTAATGATGACAGAAGAATAATAGTTGTCTTTGAGTTGTGGTATTGGACAAAAGTATTAACTATCCCTTGGAGTATCAAGAAAACCAATAGATCTGTCTTGGAGAAAGGGAAAGCAGGGCACTTCTTGGAGCGAAGAATGGTGATACTCTGTCTCAAATACTTTGGGCACATTGTAAGGAGAGGCCAGTCCTTGGAGAAGTCCGTGATCCTTAGAAAATATAGGGATAGTGTAAGAGAGGAAGAGATGGATTGTCAATGAGATGGATTGTCAAAGTGACTGTAACAGTGTGCTGGAGATGGTGAGGGTGGCACAGGATAGGACAAGGTTCAGAGTCATTGTTCATAGAGTTGCTGTGAGTTGTAGTTGACACAATAACACTTAATAACAGCTAACGGTAGGTACATTAACTTGAGACCAACAATATGGTAGTTATTACCATTCTTTGGTACTTAATTGTACTCATGTGCACAAAGTTAGCAGGGAAGTACTGCATGGTTTAAAATTGAGAAGGAAATGTGTCAGGGTTGTATTCTCTCTCCACACCTGTTTAATCTGTATGCTTAGCAAATTATTTGCGAAGCTGGACTCTATTAAGAGGAGTGTGGCATCAGCATTGGAGAGAGACCCATCAATAACCTGTGTTATGCAGATATCACAACCTTGCTTACTGAATAAGGATGAAAGAAGAATTGAAGCCTTTGAGCTATAGAATTGGAGAATACTGAATACTCCATGGACAGTCAGAAGAACAAACAGATATGTCTTGGAGAAGGTGCAGCCAAAGTGTTCTTTAGAGGCAAGAATGATGAGGCTTTGCCTCACATACTTTGGGCATGTTGCTAGGAGGGCCTATTTCTTGGGAGAGGGACATAACAGTGGGAAGGGTGGAAGGTTGGCAGAGGAGAGGAAGACTCAAAACTATGTGGATTGACGCAGTGACTGCCCCAGTGGAGTCTTATATGTCAGGAAGTGTGAAGATATCACAGGGTAGAACAGGGTTCTGATCTGTTGTTCATAGGGTCACTGTGCAGTGACACCTAACAACAGCAACCATCCTTTGACCTGAAAGAGTGAAGAAGTTTCTGAAATTTGAAAAGAGAACATTTAATAGAGAAGGCTGGTTTGAGAGGAGCAGTAACTTTGGTAGAGGGACACTACTAGCCCCAGGTGATTTGCTGGGGAGGAGCCAGTAGAATAAGTACACTGACCTAACTATACCTCTTATGTAGATGGGGTTCTCTGTTGCCTGAACGTAACTAGAACTTAGAAGGTAAAAGTCGATTGATGTAATCCATACAAGTCAGCTTCCCAAGGTCTGAAACAGCCTCAGGCGTGTGGAGAGAAACTCTAAAGAGGGAAATGAAAAGTACCTGCCACGTGTAACTTGACATTTTTGACAAACAAATATAAGTTCTTCAGTAAAAAGTAATTTTTCTTGAAATTTTGAAAAAGACCAAGCTTAAGATGATGTGACTGCAGTATTACAGAGTTACTTTGGAAGACTTCTCACCTCATGTTTGCTTTGCCTAAAGTTTAAGAAGTGGTAACATTTGGGATATATGTGAAATAAAAGACTTAAGGCAGTGTTTCATTAACATTTTAATGATAATGCAGCTCTCACCATTTTAAGCTGTAAGGTTTCTATACCATCGAGTTGGAACCTACCTGTAGCTGATCCTTTGGCGGGTTTTCAGAGGCAGCTGATTGAATGGGAGGAGATTGCCCATCCCTCTTCCACAGAGCAGCTGGTGGATTTGAACAGTGTGTCTTTGAGATTTCACCACAGCTTCTTACCATTAGGCCACCAGCATCTTTTTTTTGTTCAGGGAATATACAGAGGAAGTAATAAATCAATTTGTGATTTCAGGATAAGTTTGCTATAGTATATCTTAATTTCTCTAAGGATCTTGATAGTAGATAGTTTTAATTTAGAGGCGTACAGACAACATTTCTCTTAAATGGCCATCTGGTAATTTGTTTATATTCTGCAAATGAGAATTTAAAACCTAGGATTTGATACTTTTTCAAGGATACTGACAAAACCATGATCATCCCTTTTTCAGTACTTTGATGAGCATTAAAGATGTCGCTAACGGCCACTTTATTCTTTATTCCAGACACTTACATTCAGAAAACTAAAAAGAACTACATTGACAGTCGTGCTCGGAGAAACCTTGGTTCCATCAATACTGAATTGCAGGATGTGCAGAGGATCATGGTGGCCAATATTGAAGAAGTGTTACAGCGGGGAGAAGCACTCTCAGGTATATAAAAGCAGTAAGAGGCTTAGGGAGACGTGGTTCTCATTCTATGGCACTAGGAAAGTTTATCTTGGGATACCTTGTGCGCAGAGAGTCTAACACTGTTAAGCATTGTCTCTTAAAAATAGATTATATTACAAATCACCCAGTATATACATGTTCCCCTTGGTATGATTTGTTTTTATCGATTTAGAACATTACGTTTACACTTAATGTGCTCATGTAACAAGCAGTCACTAACTACTTCCAGGGTATTGACAGAATTATGTAAAGAAGTACTTATACTGGTTAGGAAAATGAGAAGGAAAATTAAGACACTGCCACAGACTTAGTACCATGGTTTTCTGAGTCATCTCTTTGAGAGAGACTTCCTACCAAGTGGATCTTTGTAAATGTCCTTATTATCAGGCATTCTTCTGCTGAAAAACTTAACTTCTGTGAATTTAAGGTAAAACTTAGTCTGGCTTCAACTTTTCATTTACTCATTATTACTGAGTGCTTATTTTGTGCAAAACATTGTGTTCACAAGGGTCCTGTCTCAGCCAGGTTTACTTCCTCACCATCCTTAATGATCTGCTTCCACCTCACAGTGGACGAGAACATTCTTCCCAAAGAAACTCTCCCCTGATCCTTACAACTTCCTCAGTTTCTTCTTCCCTTTAAATTTTATGCCACTTAGCCATATAATATTTGTTAGCATATCATCATGTGTATAAATAAATATATGTATTTGTTTGACCTTTTTAGTGTGGTTATACAAGCTCTTTAAAGGTCATGCTTACCTGCTTCCTCTGTGTTTTGTTTTCATCTTTTGTATCTTCACAGTAAAGATCAGAAATATAGTGGGTATTTCTTGAGTTCAACCTTGCTACACAATTAGTGGTAAATGAAGGGTTTTTTGTTATAAACAGCAGTTGAGTCAGAGAGCTGACAGAAGGCAAATAAATTCAAAGGTAATAAATTGCAAAGTGGAGATTGCCTATCTTTCTCCTGTGGAGCAGTTGGTAGATTCAAACTGCATACCTTTGGGTTGGCAGCACAGCTCCTTACCCACGAGGCTATAACTCCCTTTTAATGTTAGTAGTCAACAATTATCTCAGCATATAGCTTCACAGCTTATAAATACTGAATTTGAAGTAATGTAAATACACTGTGTAAATTTTCATCATAACAGACTAACTGTTTCTATCTAATATAAAGGACAACATAGGGACTTCTCTTTGAAATTTTATGTACTGGTCAGTTAATCAGCAAGGTAAGTGAATTGTTAGTCACTACAAACCTGATGTTTTATGGTTACAAAAGGCCAGTCCTTGGAAAAGGACATTGTACTTAAACAAGTAGAGGGTCACAGATACATTGACACAACAACTGCTTAAGCATGGCAGAGAGTGTGAGAATGGCACGAGATTGGACGGAACTTTGTTCTCTTGCACATATGGTCAGTATGAGACGGTTGATAGCACCTAAGACAGACAAAGCTGATTTGCATATTGACAGGATGTTTCCACCCTTAAAGTGACTTGGTCTTGTTGGAATGATAAAATATTCTTATAGAGAAATTAATAGTATGAGGGGGAAAATCTGCAGTCAGGGACCTCTTCAAAGTGCTAAAGAGCAAGGATACCAGTTTAAAGACTAAGTGCACCTGATCCAAGCCATAGGGTTTTTTTTCCCAGTTACTTAATAATACATCTGAGAGTTGGACAGTGAATGAAGATGATAGAAGAAGACTTGTTGCTGAAGAACACTAAATATCTCATGGACTGCCAAAAGAATAAACAAGTATGTCTTGGATAGAGTGCAGCCAGGATGTTCCTTAGAGGAAAAGATGATGAAACTTTGTCTCACATACTCAGAGCATGTTAGGAGTGGCCAATCCTTGAAGACAACATTCTTGGAAAAGTGTAGAGTCAGCAAAGGAAAGAAAGACCTTCAATGAGAGGAATTGACAAATGTAACAGTGGACCCTAGTGTAGCAGAGATGATGAGGATGACACAGAATAGGACAGGTTTCAGATCTAGGGTCGCTATGACTCATATTTGACTAAATAGTACCTAACAATAACAGCTGAAGGGAATAAACATTTATTGCACACTTACTTTGTGCCAAGCAGTGTGCTAAGTGTACTTTGTACTACTTAATCCTTATAATAATTTTGTGAAATTGGTAGTATCAAACAAACTTTACAGATGACGTAGAGGCTCATAAAAGTTAACTTACTAAGAGTCACATTACCAGAAGCCACTGTAATCACTTGTCCTTCCCAGCCTTAGTCCATCTTCAGTATATTATAATTTTAAATTTCTATAAAGTTTTAGAGCTGGTTGACTTTGCACTGAAGATCTAAAAGTAGTCCTGTTGGTCCTTTCAGCAAGTTTACATTATGCCTTTTTCCCCACTTCAATATATCTGTTCTTTTTAAGACATAGTTTTTTGTGTGTGCTTTTATTCTAAGGTACCACCCCTACTACTATAATCTCTGCAAAGGGAGGGATTTATTAGCTTTATCTTAATTATTTCAACAAGAGTGCATTATGCAGATGATCTAGCCTTGTTTGCTAAAAGTGAGGAGGACTGGAAGCACAGGCTACAAAAGATCAAAGCCTACAGCCTTCAGTATAGACTACTCAGTTATCAGCAAGAAATACCACTGAGCCGATAAGCAACATGATGATAGACAGACAAAAGATTGAAACCATCAACAACTCATCTTTTTTGGATCCACAGTCAGTACACGTGGTATCAGCAGTTAGAAGATCTAGAGACATTTGGCTGTCAGGGACCTTTCTTAATTACCTAGGGCAGTGATGTCAGCTTGAGGACTGAGATGTGCCTGATTCAGGCCATGGTGTTTTCAGTCACATGCTATACATCTGAGAGCTGGCTACTTAATTAGAATGACAGAAGAACAATAGATGCCTTTGAGTTGTGGTTCTGGAGAAGAGTGCTGAATATCCTAAATTTAGTATGGGCTGCTGATTGAACAGACATATCTTGCAAAAAGCACACCCATAATACTCATTGGAGACAAGGATGACAAAGTTTTGTCTCACATACTTTGGGCATGTTGCTAGGAGAGGCTATTCCTTGGAAAGTGACATCGTGTTTGGAAATGTGGACAGTCAGTGAAAAAGGGTAAGACCCTCAACCAGATGGGCAGCATTGGGCACAAGTGTGCCAAAAATGATGAGGATGGTACAGGATAGGACAGGGTCAGATCTGTTCATTAGGCCATACTCCACGATACCTAATAACAACAACTAATGCATTCTCTAAGCAGTAGCTTTATTTTTATGATTTCATATGTTTAAAAAATGTTCCTATGAAGAGAAATTATTTTAACTGTTATTTTTTTAATGATTTAATAGTTATTTTCCTGCCCACTTATTCTCAGCAGATAAAAATTCAGGTAAACATTTTCCATTGACTATAGAGATAGCTGCCCTTTTCCCAGCTCTTTGGATATATCTGTGAACATAGTAGTTTAAAAACTGCTGTCATTGGAGGTGTACTTTCTGATAGATTGGCTAGAGAGGTTCACTGCAGCATTCTCTGTTTCTCATCCCCTGGCTGTTTTCTTGTGTGACTGACAAGTATTTTTCTTACAAAAGCAGCTCCCGTTTAAAAGTGGCTGCCATGGCTGTGATGTTAAGTAATACCACATTCCCAATCAAAACCAATTTCTGTTAAGCAACTCTAAATATTTCAAAATCATTCTATGAGGAAGAAAAAATTTAGATTGCAGAATATAGAGACATGAACAACTTGATTCCAGTCCATATATGTTATACTGAGAACTAGTCTTATTTTTAAAATATGTATATTTATGATGGGGAAATGAGTGAAAGATATTGGTGATCATTGCACAACCTGATTAATATAATTAGTGTTACTAAATTGTACACTACTAGTAGTATTGTGAAAAATTTGAAATTAGAAAATACTATCAAGACAAAATGAAAATTTAAAGATTAAAAATTATTTGGATTTATCTTTTATGTTTGCTATAATTTCCTTGTTCTTACTGTCTTTTTTCCTTAGTTTTCCTTTTTTTCTATTCTCTTAAAACAAAATGGTAAAGGGAAATTAAGGAGCCATCAAAGGCAGAAACATGGGAGATGGGCTTTAGGCAGATTCAAGAAGAAGATGGTGAGACTTACCAGACAGTAATTGATACTTACATAGTGCTTAAGCTTAGTGCTTAGGTCATAGCAAGAAGCAGCTCTTTTCTGAGATTTGATAGTGATATAATAAAGATACATAATACTGTTTTAAAAAAAAAATTAAAACTTCTACTTAAAAGGAAAAATATTAAATCCATTATTGTAGAATTGACTGTCTTACGGTAACCCTCTTTGACAGAGTAGTATTACCCTGGACATAGAGTTCCAAAGCCTATAAATCTTTTCAGAAGCTGATTGTAACAGGTCTGTCCTGTGAAGCAGCTGTTAAATTCAGACTGTTAACTTTTTGATTAGCAGCAGAGCACTTTAACAACTGGGCCACCAGGGCTCTTACTTAAATAAAACCCACTTTCATTAAGGTTGACTTGGATTCTTAGTGGCCCTACAGGATAAAGTAGAACTACCCCACAGGATTCCACAGCTGTAAGGTTTTAGGGAAGCAGACTGTAGTCATATCTTTCCAGCAGAGCGACTTGTGGGTTCAAAGCACTGACCCTTTGGGTTAGCCATTGAGGGCTCTGACCACTACTAGACCACTAGGGCTCGTTATAGTACGCTTAATAAATTGCCTATTTGATGTAGTGTTACTCATTTTCATTATTTCATATCTTAGTACTTTTGATAAAATACTTCCATGGACTAATTAATACTTTTCCCTTTTTTCTTTTTTGACAGCTTTGGATTCAAAGGCTAACAATTTGTCCAGTCTGTCTAAGAAGTACCGCCAGGATGCAAAGTACTTGAACATGCGTTCCACTTATGCCAAACTTGCAGCAGTGGCTGTATTTTTCATCATGTTAATAGTTTATGTGCGATTCTGGTGGCTGTGAACCAGTGAATCCAGTCACTGGCAAGGAGAATCTAGAACCCAGCAGGTGTTTGTTTTCAGGAAGCTGAGCTCACAGGGATGTGCATTAGACTCCACATTTAGAATCCAAGTGGAACTTCTGCCTCTAAAGACCTTGCAAGGAAAGACATGTCCTGAAAATGAAAGGTCACACCTCATTTAATGAAGCTTAACCCTGTGTAGAAAGCCCCCCTTTGAGGCAGAGGCTTTCTCTGGGTGCTAAGCCATATGTGTTAGGGAACAGTAGATTGTTTTCAGTTTTTTTCCCCTCTTGCAGCATTCTACATTTTTAAACAGCACTATCTGGGGCATTCATACTCTTTAATGGAGCCATCAGTGAGATTTGACTTAACCGACCTGTGCTAGCAAATTCTGAAATTCTTTCAGAGAAGACAGCCCTATGGGAAACTTTTTATTCTAATCCACATTCCTTTTGTTGGTGACATTAGTGATTTTCTATAATCTCAGTTTTGATGGGCTTTCTAAAGGACTCCACTATGTGAAGGTTAATGGCCGTGCTGCACGAATCTTGTTTATTAGCCCCTACAAGAAGTTAACCCCTTTGTTTTCCTTTTATGTTATTTTGCTTATTGCACAATTGCTTTAGGATTAAATGAATTATATTATGATGCCTTGAAATTATATTATCACACTTCTTGATTAAGAAGCAAAATGTTTTCTGTCCTTTACTTCCTAAAAGACATAAATTCCTTTGAGACATTACAAATCTTTGTTTTTCAGCATCTGGTTATATTAGTATGAGATGATATACCATATATAATGGTAGCCAGAGGCACCTGGCTGACCGAGAAGAAAGGCCCAGCTGATACCACAGCATTGTTTTGCTCCTTCCTCACCTCCTCTGCTACGGTTTCCCCATCCTTTGTTTTCCTCCTGCGACAGTTTGCCAATGTTAGGAAAATTCCCCTATTCTCAATAGTTTCATGTCTCATATACTTTCTCTCAGGATAGTCTCAAATTTCTAAGTGGAGAATATTCAGTGATTTACAGAATTAAAGTTTTTGCAAAGCAACTATTCAAGCTGAAAATGTTATCAGAAAGTCTGAGAGCACCTTACTCCTTTACAGTGTATGTAAATTCTGTGAGAATGCTCCAGAGATAAGTAATGCAGTGACTTCTGTTAACTTAAAAAAGTACCTATGATTCTTTTCCCTTTTTTTGCTCAGGGATGATGGGGATTTCTTTACCTTCAGAGGTAGAATTTTTAAATGGAAGAATAGGCCTTTTGAATACAATGAGAGTCTACAATATAACCTGTGTCCTACACATACTACAAATTACATCTTTACATTATACAGGAAAATGAGCCAACTTTAAATAGTAAGCAATTTTGTAACTTAAGAGATCATCAGAGCTACTGTCCTGATTCCTCATTGAGGGGGAAAAATGCTTATTTCCTTATAATAAGGCAGCGATAAATACTGTGTTCCTGATAATATATAGAACTAGAATAAAAATATTTCTATTCCATTTTAGACTTAAATCTGCCAATTTAAGTTTTGTGCATGAGATACTAGGTTACTTTTTTACAGAGAAGAAAATGTTTTACTTAAAGTCCTTAAGCTTTGTCTCTTAAGTAATAATGTTGATAGTAAACACCTTTGAAAGGCTAAAAACCCAAGTAGTGGTATCATAACATTTAGTCCTTCTGTAGGAATGGAGACTAGCAGTTCATCATTAAAGGTTACATGCTGCAACCTAATAGCAATGAATGAAATACTTTTAGAATGTTGATTCCAGTCTGGAGCTTTGTTATGTAGTTCTTATTATCATAGGTACATTTATATCTAACCCTAGTGGTTAAAAGTGAAAAGGGAAATTACGAAAAATAAAGTAAGGTTATGGAGGTAAAAAAAAGAAAACAAGGCAGTCATAATAGGACTCCCCACTTTATTCCTCATAGGAGAGAGCAGCAAAACCTGATTAAGTAAGAAACAAAATAGACGTCTGAAATAGATAATACAGGCACATTAACTTACTTACAGGAAGGAATGTGATAGGGAAAGATTTACTGAAGAAGTAGGATAATGGGATATTGTAGATTTAATTCGCTACATATTCAAAGGCATAAGTTAAGACACATTTCAGCAGTCGTAAAACTTGGTTCAGCTTAACTCTAAATGTATACATAGGCAACTGAGAGGACATAAGGAAGCATAATTAGGCTGGTGTAATATCGTATGAGGACTTGTCTACCCTCCTAAGGAATTTGCAATAACAGCAGTGGCAAGGGATACATCAAATTTTATTCTCAAATGATCATTCTAGCCTTAATGTTGATATACTTAAAAGAGACAAGCCTGAAAGTGAGGAGCCATCAGAAGCAGAAGAAAACAAGAGACAGGTTTTAAATAGTTTTCAAGAATAGAGTGGTTGGAAGTGCCAAGTAATAACATGTAGTGCATTCCTTCTAATAGGAGCTTATTTACTTTTCATCTTGACTTTTTGAAGGAAGTACTGTTCCCACCAGTTTATAAAGGAAGAGACACAGAAGAGCTAAGTGATTTGTCCAGAGTCAGAGCTGGGAAATGATAGAGCTGATTTGACCTGAGGCAGTTTAGCTCCAGAGTCAGTGCTCATAACCACTATTTATCACTATCCTACCAAGAGGTCAAATAAAATTTTAACAAAACTCAAATTCATTGCCATTGAGTTAGAGCCAACTCATAAATTGCACTGGAGGAGATATTTTTTCTCCCTTGGAGCTGCTGGTGGATTTGAACCAGCCATCTTTAGATTAGCAGTGTAACTTCTGTAGACTATGCTTTCAGAGCTCCAAATAAGCACCCTCCCCGCACTGGTGCATTTTAAAATTAACAGGAATGCCATAATACAGGCAGAAGTATTTCAGAGAAATAGGAATAGAAGCCAGTTTTCAAAAGACTATATACACTAGTAGAAAATGAACATGTTATAGAACTTTTTTTACAAATACCTTGTTACTTTGGCACTAAACGTCATTTTAAAAACAAACAATTGCTGTTGGATCGATTCTGACTCATAGCAACTTCACTAGTTTCAGAGTCACACTGTGCCCCACAGGGTTTGCAGTGACATCATTTCAGAAGCTGATCACCAGGGCTTTCTTCTAAGGGTCTTCCAGCCACCAACCTATTGTTGAGTAATGGAGGGGTTAGTCTTTTGTACCACTCAGGGCACCATGTTGTGTTGTGTACTGGTAAGTTGGAACCAACTCATAGCTGACCCTCCATGGTATGTTTTAATTAGGATGTTCCACAGATGTCACAGTTTAGAAATACTTGGCATATTGTACTAAAGTCTAGTAATTTTAAATGTCTAACAGTACCTACGATGTTTGGAAAACTTGAAAATCTGATCAAAGTTGTATCTTGACCCCAGAAGCGTCCCTATGTATATGCAAAGTGTGATGTTCTATTTTAGATCATTCAGGGATTCCACAAAGCCTCTGCATGGCTTAGGGGTCTGGAGGCCCCAGTTAAGGTCTCTCAGTCTGTAGGTACTCAAAGGCAAGTATTCAGAAGCTTTCAAAAGTGTCCAGCTATATAAAATGGAAAGATTCCATAGTTTGAACTATATAGGTAAAAATTCATTCTTGAAAAATTATATATATGCCCTGGGGGAAAGTGTATATGTGTATACACATAACACATTTAAAAATGAAATACACACACATTACATTGATGTTTTCTGTACATTTGCATTCAGGTATCTAATTCTACAGTAAAACATTGCAGTCAGCCTCTCAGAATGAAACAATCTTGACATACTGCTTATCAGTAGGGAGTCTTCTTACAAGAGCAAGTTAAGGAGGCAAATGAGTTCTTTCTGCACACAAAGCATTTACTATAATACAATGAATTTCCATCTTAATGGAATTGCGTACATCCAAGGTCTTAAATATTGGTGGCTGCACAATTGAGGCTTTTCATTATAAATAGCAGAACTGACTGAATCTTATCATTTTCAGACAGCTCAACTAAAAAATAAGTACTGATGGTAAGAGTGTTACTAGTTCTCTGATTGCATGTTAACTGATAAATAGCTTGTAATGATCATCGAAGAACCATTTGCAGTCTGACAGTTTGAGATAGAAAGGAAAACTGAGTCTCACATCCTATTATTACAGGCCAGCAAGGTTGACCCAACAATATAAAACTATCTCAAGCAATTTAGTCATTTCTAATAAAATTTACTTCAAGTGCTGTAATAATCAGTTGTAGATAGAAAAATTGGAAATTTTATTTCCATGTAGTAATCAAGATGAGATCATTTTCTCCTGTAGCTTTCATTTACTGCACACACTTGTATTTATATGTATACATAAATATAATACATACACATGTATTACTACAGTTCCTGTAATCATTCTGTGTGCTTGCCCAAGGCCATATAGCTAACAACCGGAAGATTTGGATTCAAGGCCATGGCTCCTGGATGACTGCTGTGTTCAGTTATGCTGTAAACATATTTGTCTTAGCGCTGACATTTCACCTTGTCCTGTCAAATTAGTATTTTCAGATATGTCTGTTTCCACAGTTGCATTTTACTCTTCCAGTCCTCTTATTTTTTCACATGTCATTTCCCCTTTTATTCCCTTTTTTCTGTTTTCTTTTTGTGATAAGGCACTCAGGTGGATTCATAAGGAGTTGTGCTGCTAATCCAAGCATGGCATCCCTAGTCATTCAAATGCTGATTCTTATCCTTGATTTGTAATAAATACATCAATACTTCTTTTATTTGCCCTTTTTCATTAGAGCTCAACTTTTTTTTCTTTTTAACTCTGATTTACTTAAAATTTTACAAGGTTGGGAATTTGGGTTTTGTTTTGAAAACTCTTTTTTTCCCCTTTACTCTTCCTATTTTCTTTCCCCTCTTCCCTCCCTCCTTTTACTTTTTTCCATTTCACAACTTTCAGTCCCCAATCTGCTCATTTAATTATCAGTTAATGTACTTCTGCAATTTCATGTCTAAATGAGAGGTAAAATCTACTTTATCATATTCTTTCTTTTTTACTGCCATATTTATCTTTTCATTTTATAATATACTTATGTTCCCTCATTTTTACTCAGCACATATGAATCAAAAAAGATAGGTTCATCCTTTAAGGAACCCTTTAATAAAAATTCCAAACACTGCAAGAGTTTCTCAAGAAGCAACCTTCAGACTATCTATCACCTCCATTACTACTAACTCTAGACATGCCTGCCTGTGCTCCAACTTGAGTTCCAGATCCACTTTGTTTTGCTACTTACTGGATGTCTCTATTTGAATATTTCACAAATACTTCTCTGTGTCTAGAACATCTTTCCTCCATTCCATTTCCCTCAGGAAA